AAACATTGTCATGTCAAAGAAAATCAGGAAAATTGGAAAAGAAAAAAGATAATATTAAGAAATAAATCCAAATGCATAAATGAGAAACATAAAAAAATAAAAAACACTGTTGAAATGTACATACCTGCCTCCAGTTATATTTGGCCAAGTTTTACGGCCTAAATTTCACAGTGTGTTAAGGGAATAAATCCCACATCGATTAAAAACCAAAATATTGACCAATTTAAATAGATCTTAAATCACTCCTTTTAAAAAGGTTGACCTTATTAAGATGGATCCCAAATCTTAACATGATATCAGAGCCCAATAAACTTCAACGAGCTATTCGATCCGATTAAGTCTCAAAAATGAGCACACGAATTTCAAGATTGATCTGCTCAAAAAGAACCACCATCTTGCGGGGGCATGTTAAGGGAATAAATCCCACATCAGTTAAATACTGAAATATTGACCAATTTAAATAGATTTTGGGTCACTCCTCTTAAAAAGGCTGACATTATTAAAATGGATCTTAAGTCTTAACACAGAGGGAATACTTCAAAAAGGAAAAAGGAAGGTTATATTTATTTATTTATTTATTTATTTATTTTTGGGGTTAGAAAACGTGCAATAGAAATAGAGGGCTGAAACCAAAAATAAAAAAGTAAAAGTTATTTTTCAAGCAGTTTCTAGTAGGGGCGTAAGTGGTTCGATTTTATCGATTTTTGACAGATTTTCAAACCAAACCGTTTAAACCGGTTGAGAAAAATCCAAACATAAACCAACCCATTTTGAACGGTTTGAAAAGAAAAAACCTAAACCTAACGATTTGATCTTTTTAAACCGTCGATTTCGCTATATGTTTTTTTGTCTGTCTACTTTTATGTCATTAATTCAATATATATTTATATTTTACTAGCAATAAATTTAAAACAAACTAAGCTTCTGTTTGAACCAAATTTTTGGGACAAAAAAAATGAAAATTTGGACCGTTATCCCACAAGTCCAGCCGCCTTTATTGACCTCCTATTTTATGTGTGGAACCCAAGCTCTTCTCCAATCGTGAATTTTTTCATTATGATGATATGAAAAATAGGGGCTAAATATATCTACTATAAATTTAAATACCAATTAAATCAAAGTGAAATCAAAATAAACTAAAACATAGTTTTTTTTTTGTTCACCTTTTTTAAGCTAATGACGATACAATAACGTTACAATACAAGTCTATTATACTAGATATAAGGTCCAAAAAAAATAATGATGTCCTACAAGATTTCGTGATCATCATATCTGAAAAAAGAATACTGATTAGACAAAGAGAACAACTAACCACATTAATAAAGCAATTATTTATAATATCTAAATATAACAATCACACAAGTTTACGTTTTTATGATGTTACGAAACGCATTTAATTTCAGATTCTTACCTTAATTTGCTCCAAAAAAATATTAATCTGAAACTTTTTTCGTAGCAAATATTATCACCGAAGGTCTAGGATCACTTTGTTTCCGATCTAGTATAATGGACTTCAATTCAACTTTGAAAAGAAGTGAAAAATCTAAAAAAGAAATGTGTGGTGCCGATGACTCAAGACTGTGCTAGGTGTCGACTGGAGTTCATTTAAATTTTGAATAGGAAAAAGACTTTTGATAAATTATGTTAGTCTTGAGATTATTATATATAAATTAGGATTATTGGATAATAATAATATATCTGTATTATAAAATTAGAAATTGACAAAAATACCCGTAAATGACAAAACTATTAAATTTTACATATTTGGATGAATTTTCAAAAAAAATTCATTTTTTCATTTTTTTTATTTTTATATATATTTTTCGTCGGTCCGATTTGGTTTTAAATCGCAATTAAAATTCTCAAGCCTAAACAAAACAATTTTGACCGGTTTGATTTGGTTCAAAATCATTTCGTTGACCGAGTCCATATGGCACCAAACCGACGATTTCTAAAAAACGGTTTCGGTTCGATTTTTCTAATTGGCGATTTTTGCTTACAACCCTAATTTGTAGACCTTTACTTTTTAAAAGTAACTTTTTTGGCTTGATCAGCAAGTAACTTTTAAACAAGAGGCTGTTAATAAAAAGTTATTCATAAGTAATTAAATGTTTATACGTAAAATATATTTAAAATTCAGTTTCAAACAGTATGCTAGGAAACTTGGTGGCAAATGGTCGAGGTGGTCCAATCTTGAATTGAACCTCAGATAATTTGTAAGGTTTGGAATTTGGTTTATAAATTAAACAAAACGAGCAGAATCTGATTCATCAAATAGTATTTGTAGGAACTTTAAATGCTACTGGATACATTTTGAGATGAAGTATTAGCTACATAGTTGATATAATCCATAGATTTGGTGCATCAAGATCCCCTTTTTTTTTTTGACTGTCACACTTACTCTTTTTAATTTTTATTTTATCCTATATAACATAGAACTAAGGCAGTGGAACGAGTTTGGTTTAATTTTCTTGGTATTAAAATTATAAAGCAAATCTCGAGACAATAATTGCATAGTATTAATGCATATTGGCACTTCTCACTAATTAAGTTGACTCTTTTGACCAACCAATCAATCAATTTTAATTATTTATATAATTTCACAATATCTATTTTTTACTTTGCAATTTACTGTAATCTTATTACAGTTAAGAGTTTAAAAATCTCATTGTTAACTAGTGAGCTGATACTAAATTGCTCGTTAGAGAAATGCTTGTAGCAGTTGTGTTTGACATCAATGATATTGAATAGCATTACTTAAGTTATTTGTTATTCGAGTATTGGTGCAACTGGCGAGGAATTAGATGCATTTACACCAGAAGCAGTAGTTAGTGAGAGAAGGAGAGCAATGGTGCCTGCCACGTTCATTTTTGGAGATTATTTCATTGATAATGGGAACAAAAATAATCTGCCTTCTTTTGCTAATGCTAACTATTTTCCTAATGGTATTGACTTCCCTAGCGCAGCTGGGCCATCTTGAACTTGAACCAGAAACCTTGCCCGTGAAGTAAATCATCGCACCTACGGTCCAACCAATTGGAAAAAAATCAATAGATTCCTTTTCGGGAGTGATTCATCCTTCCCGATACCAAACTTCCAATGGTTATACCATGGTTGATACAATTTGCAAGAACCGCTTTAGCTTTGTATATCAATGAAATAACTTCTTTTTCTTAGCGCATGATTTCATCTAGTGTACCGAAAGTACCATTATTGAATGTTTTCTACGCCATGTTGGACATGACTCAAAAATGTAATGAACAAGATTATCATAGGTTGGGTAAGGTGGGTTAAAATTTTGTTCTTGGTACTATCAACTTTATTGTGATACTTCGTACTAAACATGCCTTTTGTAATGCATTTTTTTCTCTCTTGTTGTGAACTTGGTAAAAAAATTTGAGGGGCTAATTGTTGTCTTCTCATAAATGAATTCATCTGAAAATCTTGGACTGCCTTTTTATGCCTTCATAATATGGAGTCAATTATGCTTCCGTTGCTGCTGGTATTCTTGATATTAAAGGCAGAAACTTTGCACTCACGGTAGAATTTATTTGTTTTGTACTATTTGGTTCCTAACCTATTTTTTTGGTTAGCACCGTCCCTATGCTGGTAAGTTTGTGTACAAAATTAGTCTATCCTAGATAGGTAATCTATATATTTATGTTGTGTGGTTTTAGAGGTATTCTTGGGTGACAATCCAGGGGTTCATCCAAGGGGAATTAGCCTGCAAACCCCGAGATATTATTATGACGAAGGATGATTATGACTCGAGATGAAAAATTTCAAGAAACTTATTTCCTTCCAAGAAGTAGGAACCAATCACGTTTCGGGAAAATATCTCAATATCGTAGTTTTTTTTACATTTAAATTTGAAATTAAAGCAAGAAAAATTAGAATTTTTGCTTAATTAGGTAAACATAAATAATTTTAATGATTAAATAAAAGAAAGAAAAGGAAAAATAGAAAAGAAAAATAAAAAAGAACCCCAGCCCCCTGCCGGCTGTCCCCCTAGACCCCATATTGAACAACATAGCTATAAACATAAAAGGTCAACGACACTTCAAAGGGACAAAAAGGTCGGAGAGGTTGACAAGTAATGGCGCAAATTTTTTTATCGTGTTTTTGTAATCTTCTTTGAAATAAATGTAGAGACTGTACAATTAATGATTAATTGCAGGGCTTGGTTTGATGGGTTGCACTCCGAAGATTTCTTGCCCAAAGTTCAAATGGAATGTCCTCAGAGGAAGAGAATCGACGTATTCTTCCATTTAACAATCTGATTCTTAGTGCCAACTGCCAATCTCTACCGGGCTCAAAGTTTTCTTATATTGACTTTCATAATATGTTTCAAGATCTTCTGGCCAATACAAGACCATATTTTTCGTTTCTATTTCTTTTTTTTTTTTCACCCATTTAAGATTTCAATGGATGCATATTTGCATAATTTTAAACTGTTTTTTAAAATATTTTACTTCAAGTTTAAAAACATATATAATGCTATTCATTTGGAGATTAAAAGTCTACAATAATCGCAGGTAAATTACAACTTCTATCTCTACTGTTCAATTCGTTACATCGTATTAGACTTGAAAGTTCTATTTTAAAATGTCAACTTTATTAAGATGGATCCCCAAACCTAATATGGTACAGAGCCAATAAATTTGAATGAGTAATTTGATCCGATTAAAACTAAAAAAATGAGCACGCTAATTTCAAGATTGGTTTGCTCAAATGAGCCGCTATATCTTGTAGGAAAGGAATAAATCTCGCATTCAATAAAGATGAAAATATAAACCAACGTATAAGGGATTGAGCTATTCCTTTTAAAAATATTAACCTTCCAAAATAAAACCCCAAATTTCCTTTTAAAAATGTTAACCTTCCAAAACAAAACCCCAAATTTTAATACATTGAACATTTCCGATCACGTCTTTTACATCTTAGGTTCATTAGCAGAGATAGGAAACGCTCCAAGAAATACCATGCATAGAATCTCTAGATAGATAATTACTTTGATTTCATTAGAATTAATCTTAACAAGAAAAAATGACTGAAACAAAACTGAACAGACAACCTTAATTCGCACAACTTAATGATCGAAAGTAAGCAATTCTTTGTGGCATTTTAACTTATAATTATTCATCATTAGAAGGGATTAGAGCATGGCTAATTGGTGTATATTAATGGGATAAGCATATGACTTAGATTTTGAACTATATGATTTCTTGGCAAGCAATATATTTGCAACTTCAGATGGGTGAAATGCATCCCAGAACAGGTACTTGCTTCGATCTTCACATGGTGTTTGAAGAGGAAGACATGTTATTTGTCCATTGTTTTTCCCTACTCCACAACATCCTTTCTCCACCTCTTGAAATCCTGCATGTTTTACATAAAATAAACTGGTCAATTCTTGAAGAATAAATTGTAGCTTAATTTGAAAGGAGTAAGATAAGTACAGCTATATCGAGTTGCCCCATACAAGTTCCTGGTATTGGCATGGAGCTCTACTAGTTTACAGAAGCAAAAAACCTCCTCAACCATCTCATTTAAAAGCTTAAGCTTTAAGGGAGGGGAATTATTTATTTATTTAAATATTGTCTTTACACATCTAATCATGTGTGGTTTGTATTCCTAAGCAATCAATAGCGTAAAGGTGACGAATTTTATGAAAGTATATTGATTGAGTTTTGAAATGAGGTTAACTATCTCTTCTGAAAACTTAACATGATGGTTTAACAATGGTAGCTTTGATCGTCAATTATTAATCCGAATTCAATGGATGATTACCATGCAGCACATCACATGCATTCAATCCACCGTGTAACATTTCTCGAAAAAGTGATATTTACGTTAGTTGCGTGCTTGTACTAGAATCCAATGAATTCACGTAGAGAGGACACATTACCGTAAGTTTTTGCATTGAGCACTAGGTCTTTGCTACTTTCATAGGAATCAAGATAAACAAACTTTGCTCCGGGCAGCTGACCCTTGTTGAATCGATCCACTAATTTCTTGAGGCCTGTATTGAAAAGGACAATGGCATTGTTAATCTCTTCATTGCATCTGCTACCGTTGCCATTATATCGAGCTAGCTCATATGGTATGCACCCGATCTGGCCTACCCCGGTCACTACCACCTTGCGAGCTCCCCACTTGTGTAAGTTCTGAAAAATGAAGACCATATTTATTGTAAGTATAATTTGTTAGGTATAGTACTATGAATTTATGGATGGTAGAGATAGTTATAAAGGCCAAGTCCAAAACGTCAAAGGGTATCGACCTAGTTTAGGTCAAGAGTGTCATATTTGAGCAATAAATACATTTTTCCAAACAAAAACGAACTTCTAATCAAAACTCTACTAGAGACAATGGATAGGACCCTACTGTGTATACAGGCAGGCTTCATACAGAAGCCTGCCAGAACACATACAAAAGGGGGTGGGTGTGGGTATTTTTTGACAATTTTTTATTTACGGTGGGTCCTACACATGAGAATATTCTGGCCAAATTCTATAGAAATTTTTTTGTACAAATGTCATTCTCCCAATGGATGTGACAAAATCCATCATTCACTCGGACAGTTCTTTTGTCTTGGGGATTGTGCCTAGTTTTATCTTGTGGGTTATTTTGATAATTTCTACCAAACTCAGTATAGTTTTGATATAAAAGAATTCTAGGGTTTCATTTTTCAACACAATAAATTGAATAAAGTTATCTAGCTTATGGAGCTCTCCAAATTTTGGGTTTTCATTCAAAATATCAATTCTTTGATGGATCTCAGTAGTCGAATTAAATGAGTTGAAAGTTGTCAGCAAGTCGAATTTAAGCCGAATGACTAAAATAATAATCAAAGTGTAGATAATGTCTACCGATAATTGTCTTGAATAATCTTGAAGAAGAGCATCAGCATAAGCTTTTGGGGTAAATTGTGAAGAAGATGAATAGAAATCAGTCATGAAGTAATTGTTGAGATAGTCATTGCTTCCCATTCCTGAGTAAAATATGCATTTGCTGAGATAAGTTCCCAATGCATTCAAATCTCCTCTGAAATATCTACTCAACTCTTGGACTGTTCTTACATAGCTTTCAACCTGCTGATTCATTGACACGTGATCCCCCTGCAATCACATATACATATACATACATTGTTCATATAATTATACGTGTTAATTTGACTATGTATATATATAATTCCGTTGTAAATAAACGATCTCGTTCATTCTTATGGTAGATATTGATTGGGAGTGTATCTTAATGGAAATGCAAACCCTAGTCGTCGTTGATCTTTCATTCTTACTGGAATGATTTTTCATTTTTATGAAAAATAATATAATATTTTTATTGGTCCCATAATTTTTATCAACTTTTCAACCATACATTTTATCAATTTTAAAAATCAGATTTTTAAAGGGGGTATAAGAAATTAGAAGAATCCATTGCTGGAGCCCTTTTTTAGAGTTTGTAGCAATCATTTAGGCCATGGAAAAGGGAATTTGGCAGGTTAAAAGTTCCTTATTTAGGTTATACCTTTTAAATAAGCAAAAATTAAAGGCAGCTTTCTTAATTACATATAAGGGAATTTCATTTCATTTTACCAAGTTATTTCCAGTTTCGTCCCTGATTCCAGCTGCTCCCGATGCATAATTTGTTCCGCGGAGTAATGCTCGACCACGGGTTCTTGCAAATGGTGGAATGTAGGCTGGAAACCCTAGAAGTTGAGCTGCAAAATAACATAAGAAAGCGATACACAGTTCCATAATTTTTGAATTTTCAGAACAAAATATACTTGTTTTTAGCTTAGCCAAAACATATCGTAGAAACAAATAAGTTCGTCTAGTATACAACAATTTAAACTTTTATATGATGTAATTCAACAAAATGAAATACTTCAAGTTACCTAGAATATCGATATAAGTTCGGCCATTGGTAAAGCGGCCAGTGGCACCTTCCGGGAAGTCAATGCCATAAGGCCCGTAGTTGGCCCGGGCAAGAGTGAGTATGCCGTTGTTGTTACCATTATCGACTAACGAGTCCCCAAAGATAAAAAGACATGGCACTTGGGGTTGTTGAGGCTGTGAGCAAGCCCTAGTTGTTATCCACAAGAAAGAAAAAAGGACCCACAAAACGAACTCACTCAATTTTGCCATAGTATATAAGTGACTCTCATGAATAAAGACACTGGTCCTTGTATATGTATATTTATAGGGTACATGTCCTTATTAAATAGGGTATATCTTTTTAGCTGTACTTCATGTGTTTGTTGTGTGTGATCTTGCCCAAAGCAGCGGTGAGAGGTGATACCTCGTGAGAATTGAACTTCAAGGGAATGTCCTTTACAGATATGCAATCCTATTGTTGAAGATAAGATTGAATCGACCCTTTTCATCATTTCAAGAATTTAGATGAGAGTAAAACAAAATATAGGTTCAAGTTTTATCACCGCCATGTATCATAATTGAGCACGGGTCAAACTTTAGAAAAATAAAAGTGCATTGATGATAAGACTGGTCTTTCTCCAATGATTTAGACTTTAGACGAGATGGTTACACTTTCAATGAGATCAACTCGTTGATCTTGATTTATCAACTTCTACTCCATTTGAACAAAATTAAAGGGAATGCTTGATATATAGAAAAAGAGATTGATTTGATTGTTTGAGCACCGTTGTATACCTAATATAGTCCAATTTTCAAGAATCTGTAAACAAACTGGATTGCCTCAATCTAATTTGATTTCTTTCTTGCGAAAACAAGACAAAATCGGATCATGCTCACCCTACAATTAACCCTTAAAGTCTTCAATCCATGGCTTTTAAACAAGGTCGATATTGAATTTAAATTTATTGGGCTCGAAAAATTTCGAATTGGTCCTGAACCTATTTGCCTTTTTAGTAAGATGGTTTAAAATCTTTAAAAAGGAACAAGGTGGTCAAGACTCAAGTTATAGCTGCACAATGAGTCTCAAAAGAACAATAAATAAATAACAAGAAAGAACTCAAATCTCCATTAATTTTTCATGTACCATGGAAACATATATCAATTCTAATTTATGTCATTGGCCCAAGTTGGGAAATAAAATATAACTTCCCAAAATTGGAGTGGTGAGAATCTTTTGATAATTTCTGTTGATGACGTATTATAACTATAATAAAAGGTTCGAGACCTAGTCGAGCAATAGGCAATGACCAATAGTCTGCAATCTATGCTCTTGGTTGATAATCTGAGTGGATATAACATTAACAGTGACTCTGATATATACAAGTCTTAATTTTAATATGTGAAATTTTATATATGCTTACTTAATTTAGGATAAATTAATATAATGTGTTATGACACTAAATATTAATTCTGTTTGTCACAGTGAAAAATTAATAGGTTAAGGTGAAACTAAAGAAGATAAAGACTGCTGTGAATTTCTTGCTTTCTCTGGCAATTCTTTTTTGTTTATCCCATTTCTAGGTATAATTAACCATATTAGACCCTTCTTCTTGTTTATGTAGAGACTCTGAATTCTTATTCTTGTGATTTAAATCAGATAAAATTCATATAACTGACGTCAAATTTATTGACAGTCGTATAATGTTTATTCCTACTCAGGACATTGGAACATTAGTCTGCAAATCAATGCCTAAAAATTGTATATGCAGTGATGTTGCAAATGCTCTATAACCCTCCTGATTGACTTGTTTAGTGCTAATAAATTTACGATTGTGTTACATGTACCTCACAACTTATGAATTATTTTACCAAATAGATGATGTGATAAGATTTGATTAGATCAAAATCTCATCAACAAAAAATAATAATAATAATAATAATAATAATAATAATAATAAATAATAAATTCCTTACCATCTTTTGAAATCTCATCAATGAAAAATTATATAAATGGTAATATACAACAAGCATTTTTCATTAACTTACAGGGTATTCTCTAATTTTTATTCTGAAATATTACCTTTTGCCGATTGCAATAATATTAGTGCTTTATGTCCTAAATATTCTGTGATTACAATAAATTGACCCATTTTATCATACTAACAAATGTCTCTAAATTTACGTTGATGTTAAGCAGATTTAGGAACAGATTCAAAAGGAAAACAAATTACTAATATAAACTTGAGAAAATTGTCGCATCAGTCACTCACATTTTGCGTTTGTAGAAACTTTGATCCCCAGCCTTTAAATCTAAACATTTAGTCCTCAATCTTTCGGTTCGGTTGCAGTTATGGTCATTTTTCAAGTGATTAAGCAAACACGAATCTTTCTGGCAGAAGTTGCAGAAATTAAATTATGAAATACTTTATCTGAATTCATATGCCTACACAACTATGGAATACAAATTGCTCTTCCATCAACGGTAGAGATATTAGTTCTCAAACGAACACGTCAAATGTTCTGTAGAATTCAAGAACTTGCTCAGCGGACTTTGCGAATTTTTTCTTCTTGACCTAATCCAAGAGATTTCTGTGCATTTGCTATACCTTCAGGGTCTGCCCAAACGGACAGAAAAGGAGGGAGAAGCATCATTAGAAAGCAGAAACTTTCCATGCAGAGAAGTATAGCAAATGCATTTCATTCTTCTGTAATTCATGATGACATGGCTGAAATATAATGGTTCCTTCAAGGCTTCAACTACAATCGCCCGCCCACCCACTCACCCCCTTCCTTTCCCTTTGAACTGCCAAATCAAATGGAAGTCAATACATGTAAGACATGTCCATCAACACCAAGCACTTCACCCAATGAGAATAAGTAAAAAGAAGCTAAATGAAGAAGTCTACCCACAGAAAAATCTTTGACAAACTAAGCCCCCTTTTTGGGGGGGGGGGGGGGGGGGGGGGGCGTAACTAATGAGCACAACTTCGTTGGTGACTATTTTCATCTGAAATACGAGCTCATCGTCTGATGTCATATTTGCTTATTTCTTCCATCTTATGTCAGGTCTTGTTATTGGCAGGTTAATGTTTAATATGTGTTAATTATCTATGGATCGTGCTTAATTGTAATAATCTTTGCCACATGTACATGGGAAGCTAATCTAACCAATAGAGAAGCAAGAAGTCACTGAATTGAAGCTAATACCATCCCATGAGAGGGAAACAAAAGAAAAGTAGAAGTAACAAGAAGACCCTAATCATATTGTCTTTTTCTATTAAAATCAAAGGGCAGCACCAGAAAATACACACTCAGAGAATTCAACTTACCAAAGAACTGTGTAAAGATTCATGTGAAGAAGCTCATGTTGCCAGAGACGTTGTATGCCATTGCAGGAGGAAGAGGTTTGACGACAGTATCGACGCTGAAAACACGACCAAGAAACTGCACACATGCGAAAGAATTACATCAATGACAGCAACACATCTTAGATAATAAATTGCACAGGATATAACATTAGATGCTAATAACATCTGTACAATGAATGCAATGTTCGTTTCGATATCAGTTGAAGAAAAACTGGTGGCATACCACTGGCAACCACGGTCAATAATGACAAAGGTTATCAGAATGAAAATAGTGACAGACTTTGGTACAGCTTGGGTGGATGGATCAGATGAAGTATTTTTAGAGGAAAGGGATAAGTAACGAACTCGAGTAGAACATGCTTTATTAGGATGAGAGGAATTGCTTAATCAGCAGGCATTAAATGCTGGATATCTTATCTATCAGTCAGCCTTGGCAGGAAGTTAAAACAATTTGTTATAGACAAAGACTTTACGATGCAGAGATTAAAGTATATTGAGGCCAAAAAAAATTAAATATTGGGGCCTCTTTAATTCTAGTTCGTATTAGAATAGGCTTATTTCCTTTGTTTTCTATTTAAATTAGATTTCTTAATTTTCTACCTAGGTTAGGATTGTTTAAACCCCTAAACATAAATGGTTAACTGTTTTAAAAAATACACATTGATTATTGAATACCATTACAATTTCTCTCTCGACTTTCTCTTCCTTGTCTCGTCTCTCTCTCTTCAATAATTCTTAATTGTCATAAGTTGCTGATTGGAATCTTTGTTAACGAGCATCCGTCATTGCTTTGTATAAAGAGTCACTCCAAGAAGATGTACTCATGCAAGTGATTAAGATGACCATGGACCTGTCACCACCCCAGAGGCTAACAATTGCGAAAGCAAGGAGTGAGTGTATGCAGGGATTGAGTTAACATTGGCTTATGTTGAGCTGAGCACAATTTGATAGAGACAGTGGTAAGCATTGTAAACTGACGCGTGGGAACCGTAATATATCCTCCGTCCTCCTAGAGGTTCCTTTCTTTTGACAAAAGGAGATATATTGCAAAGGTCATATTTCTTTCTAATTCTCCAGGCGACCCTTAACTCTTTCGATGAATGAAACTGGGGAAAAACTATTTTAAGTTCGGAAGGCTTTAGGAGGTAATGTTAGTGGACAAGGGTTTTCCAAGGAGGATGGTTATGGATGTCAAAGAAAGGAGGACAAGTGGAAGTGATGGAGAGATTACCAGAAGAAAGGACACAATCGAATTAAAGACAGGTTGCAGCACTCAGATAAGGTGAGAGGAGGAAAAGCAATCACATTCTTGATTACTCGTTTCATTCAATTTAGAATCACAAAACTAGCCCAACTAAAGTTCGAACCAGTCTCCAACTTTATTAAACTATGCTAAGCCTGCTTAAACCAAAACAATGCACTAAAAATAAAATATAGAGTTTAATTCACTCTAAGACCTCGATGCTTATTTATGAGCAACCATAAGACGTAAGAACACAACACAATAAAAATAAAACCCACAATCCCAGCAGACACTATCATTATCGAGTTGTTCGTCAGGCCACAAAGATTGTAACTTTCTCGCATAATAATAAAATTTCCACCAGAAAAACACAGAAATATACCACATTTTACCAAACGGGTTCTCATATAGTTAACCCAAAACATATACATACACGCATATATACAAATAGTTTAAACGAATATATTAATTCAGTTACTTGAAAATTGCGCTGGAAGCTGTAGCGGAGTTCGGGATCGATTTCAGTGAGGGATTCTTCTGCAACGTCGTCGTTTTTATACTTCTTTCCAGGGACGTGCATTTTGGGCGTTGTACCTGGCTGGTTCGTCACTTTCAATGTCTTTGAACTTCTCTTCCTTTTCCTCCACCCTCCATGGGGCTGACGCCAGCAGCTCTTTTT